TCACACCCTCACTGTTAGATGGAAAATGGAGGTTTGAGATTTCTCGCAAATCCTTGATGAATCCTCGACTCCCATAAATACAAGTTCTTATACTATCTAAATGTCCCCTGTCTAACACAGGGCCTGTTAGAAAGCTTTACTGGAGAGTCCACTTAGAAGGCCCAGGACGAAAAGCATCCCTTCCTTGCGTCCTTCTATTGACTACCTATCATAGCAAAACGGCTATCAGGATACCAACTGGTAACACCATAGGAACCACAAGAGATCATAACCCCCCTAGGAGGGAGGAGTGCCTATAAATTTATTTAATTTATTTATATACAAAAAATCAATCTAGGATATAAGGTGTGAATAAATAATTTATATTCTTATATCTCCCAGAATCAGAGAATAAATATTTATATAAATATTAAATTAGAATTGAGGGTGTAGGTAAACTGTGTCACATACCCTCTTGACACTCTCTCACGAGTGCATTCAAACATAGATATACCTTCTTCGAGTAAGAATTTAAATGAGAATATATATATAGAAGTTACTTTACTTTAATTATAAACTCATAATCCTAATACAGAATTCCATTGTTTTATTAAAATTAATTTCCAACTGTGACAAGTGACCCACAAGCCACGTGATCGACGTCATTGTACACTATCAGAGGAATTCTTCGCGACTTCACGATGTCTGGAAGCAACTACATCTCGAAAGCAATCCAATTCTATTGACAGAGATTACAGTCAATTCTCTGGCCCGAGCAGAACCTACCATTACGCACGCGAGTAATAATATCCATGAATAGTGGTTGCTCGGGACGGGGTTACAAACTGCTCCAAGGATAAAGCGAAATTACGTTTCAGATGATCCTACGTGCTTGTAACTCGCGTGTAACTCGCGTGTACCTCGTATCTAACCACTAATGACAAGAGCTAGGATCAAGGGTCTAAGATTGGCGAGAAAACGACCAAGTTTCCGGGGTTATGGCATCGTTGCTACAAAATACTCCGAATTTCTCGCAAATATCGCGTTGGGTGGTTCGAAAATTCAGCTTCAACAGCTTCTAATAAATCTCTTAGTTCATAGACAAGAAGAATACTGAAATAAACTTTCAATAGTAAATATTCATCGATCCTCGTCGGGGAGCTCTATTTCTCAGGCCGAAAAATTGTCAAGGTTTGACTTAAAGTCGCCCTATCTCTCGACTTCCTGTCCAATACCCGGCGAAATTTCTGCAGAGATCTTTTTCTTACCACTCGAGCTTCCTTAGTATAGAGCCAACGTCCAGGATATTATGTCCTCTTCGCGGGAGGAAATGCGAGCCAACCCAAGGCAAAGGATACCCTTTCTGCAGCGAATAACGAATAAATCTGTCGACTGGCGGCATCGTTCCTTTTGCTTCGTAGCAAACTTGCCTTTTTCTTCCCTCCACCTCGAGTAACGCGAGATTAATATAAAATATGACCCCGAGCCACGTACTGGGCCAATAATGCCGCGATAGATAATAATGATCGAAACCATGCTGAGCGCAACCAGGCGACCCGCCTTAAGGGGATGAATTAATAACGAGAGGACACAACAGTTTGCTTTCCATGCTTTCCAGGGTGAAGAAGTTCAATCTTAAAAGACTCTATTTTCGTGAAAGGACATAAAGATCTATTTCATTGCAAGTAATATTCAATTAAGATGCCTCTTCGTGTCGGTCTTACGTGTTATCTGAGATCATCATTGCAGTCGAAAAAAAGTTTGAGGAAAATCCTACACAATTATGTTTTTACAAATATCGACACAAGTTCCAAAATTTAGTTGATTTATCAATTTTGATTTTATGGACTTGAATTTTCAAGATTCTGGATTCTTTAAATCGTCAGATGAACACGAGATTTAGGTCATAAATGTACATATAAATTGCTTATAATGGGTTACAGAAGAATCCTGCTACAATTTACTTTGAGTTTGTCGTGGTTTCGCAACAATTCAATGGGGATTTATACTAAATTTTGAATTTTACACGTGACAAATTACTGTAGTGTAGATATTTTTACAATTATTGCGAGATTAATTATGATCACGTCGAATTTTTCATAATCGAAGTTTGTTTAATAGCACAAATATTCCCATTGTTAAAAATTTTGAAAATTGTATCGAAGAAAATTAAGGCTACAAAGAAACAGTTCTCCAAACCTAGCAAGTAGAACCGTGAAAACGAATGTTCTATGAGATCCCAGAGAAGAGAAGGAGAATAGAGACAAGGAGGCATCAGCAAGAACGTGTCACCATTTGCATTCTCAGATGGTATCATTGACACTAAAAGGCTGGAATTGAGCCGATAATAGATTGAATCACGTCCCCTTGGAACGTGTGACGAGCTATGTGAAAGAAACCTCAACGAAACGTCAGACTTCTTTGCTCTAGTCCGGATTAAGCCATTGCCACGTACACGGTGATAACGTTTTCAAAGTGCTTCCTCTGCTTCCTGTCACCCTTCGACCCTTCCCACAACCCGGTTACCTTTCTTCGAGCAAACGAAGTATCGTCTAGGGATCTTTTCATCTTACGAGAGGAAATTAGCAGACTGTGTGAAAAATGGCCAAGGGTCGAATGAGAGATCTCGGAAAAATTCTTCTTTGGAAAATTACTTCGAGTCCTGGTATCATGGGTCGGGTTAATTTTCGTTCTTTAATGATGAATTTAACCAACGAAGAAGAACTTCTTCGAATGTCTTTTACAGATGATCGTCCTAATTAAACCTTCGTCACCTTTCCTGAATTAGTTCAAAATTAAAACAAAATAAAAGAACGTCACAGTTCAAAGATAATTTATAACCTAACCTTTAGATATGAGATGACGAGTCCAGCTCTTGAGCAAACTGATAATGACGATCTGCACTTGCCAGAAAAATTTGAACATTGTTGTATCCGCATCTGAAAGTGTCATATTGAAATTAACGCAGGATCCTCTAAGAAAAGGATACACTCTATCTCTCTTAAAGTTAAGAAAATTAAATTGTCTACTTAAACAGTGCTGACTGAAAATAAATTGCATTTCAAGGAGTTAAGAACTACTTTGACTCAAATAGGTCAAGATTGCAGAGAAAATGGCAAATTGGTAACATGGGAAAAATGGAAAAGGTCACCTCGCAGATTTCGATTCCACTTGTGACTTATAATAAAAATAGTAGAAGTAAAAGCATCGAAATAAATGGCCTGGACTAGTCGAGACGACACCGATTAGATTCCGGTCAAGTTTCATCCGACAACAAAGAAAATAGCAAAGTAGTACGAAAGCGAATTTAATTGGATCGCTGTGTCGAATGGCGGACCACCTCTCCTCCGACATCGGACCGTTTCTCGGATACGTAATTTTAGAACTTGGCACAATTCGATTTTATTTTCACTCGGGCCACGTCGTCGCGACGCCTGCTTGACACTGACTTCGTGCACCATCGTGGCCAGACAACGCGTCTCGATCCCTCTCGATCTCCCCTAAACGAAACGCCAAATCCATCTGTTGCTCTGTGAATCTTCTTAAAAGATATCTGCCTGAGAATCCTCCAATCCGGCAAATAATATCAGAGATTTCGATGAAAGGCAACAAATTCTTCTCTCCTGTCCAAACAACCATAACGTCGGAAATAACATCCGTAAGGTACACGATCATTTTCAGCCAGAACATTCAGAGACAGAAGAACAATAATCAAAAACGTATTCACGATTTCAGTACTTCGTAATTTTGGAAATTCAGGTCTTGGGAGAAAACAGATTCGAAGTGAAGATACGTGTGCTATGAGAAAATGAAAGAAATAGATTTGAGGAATTTAAAAGAAAATTCTATGGAACTAATTCTTTTCTAAATTTTACTCTACTCAATTTATAATACTCTATTCACTTCATACTATGGATAAGACTAAACGTTATTATAATTTTGCTGTTGTTATAGTTACTGAAAACAAGCAGCTGTTTTTAGCAAAATTAATATTGGCTTTTAGCAAAATATGAACCTGATTACGTGCACCTGTTTATCTTCGTTATGCTATTTTCATTTATCTGCGTATACTATAGTTAGGTATACGTTACAGGTACACGTTACAGGTTGTTATTAAATAAACTTGACAAAACGTTCAATCATGAACGTTTTAGCTTCTCGGATAAACGAGTGGCAAGTGAAACCTGCTAACCGTGTCGAGTAATGAATATCAGCAAGAACAAGTAATTAATTTACGTACATTGCAAATATGAATTAATAACCCACTAACCACGGATTCGTGTTCCATAGACTTTTAGCGAATCAAACATCGGAAAGCAAATTTTATCGTCTGCTTGAATATACTCGATCAATGGTTACCATTTGTTACCAACAGCGCTGCACTTGTTAATTAAATTACAGCTGTCACGAGTAGGATTCCAGCGAATATGATAAAGCGGCATGATCGCGATGCTTGTGAAACAAAATCAAATATTCCTCGGTTACTATCGACTAACTCTTTTCCAACAGAGATTTATTCGCTGTGCGAAACGTGTCTATTACTCCCTTGATTTTCTAAGGTCTATCACAAGTGAATTGTATCCTTCTTCTGTCTTCAATCTTCTCGAATTGAAGTCTCGAATTTCGTACCTTACAAGAAATTCAATATTGCAGGAATGTAGAACATTTGCCTACATTATTCGATTCCTCTCTCGACTCGACTTTCAGCAGAACCCTATTCCCTATTCCAGCTTTGCCTACTACTTTCTTGCTTCCCTGAATCCAATGTAGAACCTTGATATTTTTCTTCTATTTTCTACCTTCTCGAGCTAAAATCGTGAATTATCTATTTCGTAGGAAACTCACTCTCATGGTGGATCTTTGCTTCTGCTATTCCATTCCTGGCTCGACTAGACTTTTGACAGAATCCTGTTCGCTGTTCCAATTTTATTCGTTATTCTTTCCCTTCGTTGCATTTTTCTTCTGCTCCGCACATTCTTGAGTTAAGTTGGTGAATTTTATATGTATCATAAGCAACTTACCTTTACAGGAATGCAGAAGAGTATGAGAAGAAGGTCAGCCGTAGCCAAGCCACCCAGGAAGACGTTGGTCGGCGTAGCTGGTAGAGGTCTCAGTCTCGGGCACAACGTCGAACCGATGATGACGACGTTTCCTGAAATAAAAGTACACGTTACCACAACGTCCTTATTTTCTCATCAAAAGTTGATAATTAACCTGCCACGTCTACCCCTACTCGGCAACTTCCGTGGAAGATAGTCGCGGAGGAACCAAGATGACGTCGGGATATCGAAGTTCACGGAACTCGATTATTCGCGAAACCCATGATAATGGGTTAATGATAACTATGCGAAATATTTTTATCAGATTTCTAACTGACGATCGTCTAAATAATGTAATTAATAAAGAGGTAAATAAAATAATCGGATGAATCTAGGTGATTCATCGATTAAAATAGGAATCAATGGAATGAGACGATTAAGCTGGAAATAAAATAATAGATTCTTGAGCAAGGCAACGTAGAATGTTATCTGTTAATTGTCACATGGATGACACTGACACAATAGAGGAAGTCGATGATAAAATTAATCATCGTGTCGTCGTAATGAATAATAACTTTTCAAACTAGTCCACGCAACCTAGCATCTGCTAATGACGATAAGCGAAAAGATATCACGGTAACGAGGCAAGTATTTGAACAGCCTTCTGATGCAATATATTTGCTCGTCATTCCATTGCACTAGATTAAACGTTTTATCAGAAAACGAAAATTGGAATTCCATTTAATTAACAGATACTTTCCACCAATTTTTGGTTACCAAGTTTCTTTTTCGATTCTGATTCGCTCCATCGAAAGAAATTATTTTACGTGCATAGTGACTTAGGTCGAGTCACTAGAGTTACTAATAATTACTACTGTAACTACTGTGAAGTTAAATATGGTGTACATAAATGACGATAATTGAAGCGATACAGCGAAGATAAGTAGATGAATATTATATATAATTACGTTTAGTAAATTGAGTGTACCAATTAAGAGATAGGGTATCTGAAATTAGTCACTTTAATTTGTTTGGTAATACTAATGTAGAACATAAAACAAGAGAACTCGAGGTGGAAGACTTCAACTTAGTGGACTCACGCTTGTCACAAACTTGCTCAACGTTGCCTTAATAATTCGATAATTAGAATAATAAATTCTAAACTTATGTTTCGTAGATTTATGCTACGCATAAATATACTATATTAAAGTAAGGAAGAAAATGAAATATCTATAATTAATGAAATTTAATAATTAAAAAGGTAAACCTTTCTATTGCAAAATTTTCTCGATACCTGCTACTATCACTACTATTACTACTTACTACTATTACTGTCATTACTAATATTTCTACTATTACTACTTACTACAATTACTATTATTACTGCTATTACTATTTAGCACTATTACTGCTTACTACAATTACTACTTGCTGCTATTACTACTATTACTACTTATTATTAGTGCTACTATTACTACTATTACTACTATTATCCATTGATTTAGCAAAAGGTCTATATATTTCTTCGAAAAGTCGAGTATTTCGTATAGTTAAAACTTAGTCGACGTTTCCATGAGTCCAGGAGAAGAAGCATCAAGCACTCACCGATTAATCCAAGGAAAAATGTAAGAGAGTAGACGACGAGGACGGGTGCCAGTTCCGCCCAGTCGAAATGGCTGAACGACTCGTTGATATCGTAATCGAGAAAATCGTTCGTGGCATTAGTCTCGTTCGACATGACTGCGATTAACTTCTTGACGACAATTTAGAGACTGCGTCCACTTGTCGCCTGTACACCGGCACGTCTTCCATCGTGCAAGCTCTTAAACACTTCGCCTAACTGCACCTCGCAATTTGCAATGGGGTGTCCTCCTGTCGCACACCCTCGGGAACCCGGCCCTGCCGCGTCGTGAAAACTCTTCTTCGCTAGATTTTCTTCGCATGCTTCCCTGGCCCGAGCTTTTAGACATCGCCACGACGATACGTGGCCATAACCTTGGACCTAGAAAGGAAGAAAAATGGATCTTGAACTCTCAAAGTCGAAGCGAGTTTGATTTAGAACTTGGCTGAGTTTCTGAGAGGTGCATATGGTCCATTGAGATGGGGCTTGGTAAACGTTGTAGGAAGAAATGAAACATCTCAAACGTGAAACGTCACTTGGCAACGTATACTTATAGTACGTAATATTTATTAAATATTATAAGCATTTTTATTTAAGTTTATCCTAAAATAGGTTATGATCCATCGAGTTAGATAACCTGAGATTAGGTTATGTTTGGTTTCAGTTAGACTTCGATTAGATTAACTTCAGGCGAGATTAATTATGAATCGAGCTTAGATTAAATCACCTTTGAATGAAATTAAATTTGATCTAGACTAGGTTCACGAGTTGACTTTAGGTTAGGTTAGGTTCGATTTGAATTAAGTCTATTATATCAGATTAACGACGGGTGAAATTTGAATCAAGTCAGGTTTGGATTAAATTATCTTCGAATTGGATTAAATGTTGGTTAGGTGCAGACTAGATTAAGTTTAATTTAAATTACACGTATACTAGCTTAACTTCGGGTTGCGTTAAGTTCCGACGAAATTGTCTGCAGTCTGGGTTATGGTTAGGCGACGTTTGAGTTGGGTCCACTTTGGATTAGGTTATAGTTAGACGAAATTCAGGTCAAGTGTAATTACTAAACGCAACGTCCAATAGCGTCAAAGGTCTATCATAAACCAGGATTAAAGCATGAAAGCGTTCTCCATAGTCGTAAGTCAACGTTGACGTAGCCGCTCGTTTTAAGGGAGAAAAATCGGAGGAAGTTAAACGAATCGCGAATAGCTTTGGAAATAGCTTAGTTTCGCAAACAAACTCCGAGTAACAAGCAACCTGATCCCTGAAGAAACTACAACGGACTCGAACAGAGCTTCGAATCCATTTCGAAAGCTACGATCACCACGAGCAGTCTCTTAAACACACAAAGCTGAGCTGTAATTTTAAGATACTCGTATAATGCCTAACAGTGTGTATAATTCGCACGGAAATCGCTTCACGCGTGCTTCTCAACCGTGAGATTCCACCGAGCGTACCTCGAGACATCGGTAGATTACAGGTGACACTGAAAAATACCAGGCATTTTCTCCTCTACTTTACTTTCCTCTTTCATGTTGCTCCGTGAACCATCTCCAATGTTTTTCCGTGCGAAAAATTATTTTCCTTCTCGAAAGAATTCCAATTCCTCGTGTTTCCACACGAGAACTCTGACATCAGTGTCCACCGAGATTTATTTGGAAAATCGGTGGAGAAATCGGTACTATCGGGTCGATTGAGTCGCGTTTAACTTTCTTTCGTTGCAATTTAGCGAAAGAAAATTCGCGGAAACTCGATAAAATTCTCGTGTCACGTCTCTGGTGCGGAATAGAGGACGGCAGCGTTGAAAACATAGGACGGAACTGCTCTCTGTTCCTTTCATCCTCGGTTAAAAAGAGACACGATGCTCACGTGAACCCGTTCCCAAGGCTTTTCCACTGTATTGAAAGCTCGACGAGCTTTCGCCGAGGCGGACCCGCTAAAATCATCAAAACGCGAAACGCATCGCGTTACACAGCCGTGACCCCGTTCGCGTGCTTCATTAAATCCGATTGGCAATCGGGATCTCGTTTCATCTTCGTCGTGGAAATTTCATTTCGAGGCCGAGAAACTTATCCGTGAGTCGCGGGACACGGATCCATCTCCCGGAAGTGGGTTTGTGTTTGGAACATTGTGAATGAGAAGGTCTTTGTGAGAAAAGAGAAGGTCTAAAATTTGGTACCGTGTTATATGGAAACCACGCCTATCAAAGCTATTATTAAAATCTTTTCTATCATACATTCCCTTATCCATTAATGTTATCCATTAATAAATTTTTCAAGCCATTTGAGTTGTTGGAATGTTCTTGTACGATGAACGTGTTACTACGATTTAATTATGACAAATTATGCATCGTATTTAATTTTAATTGATCACTATATATCTCTGTTCCATCCACGATAAAATTGGATAAAAATTTTAGAAATTCTTCGAACTTTGTGCACGTCAAAACACGTGAAATATAATTAAAATTTGGTGATTAGTATAGTTTATAATCACGAGATTGGACGTGAAAAATTCGTGACGAGTTAGACTCGCCCTCCTAGTGCTAAGGGTCGATCTACATTGAGAGAACTTGCAGATTTGTCACGAGCTAATATGTCGAAAGTAATTGCATAAAGCAATTTTTGAAAATTTGAAAAGATATAATTCTAGTATCTACGTTCGTCAAGCATTCTTCTGGCGAGTATCGCGATCTTCTAATTGCAACAGTCCTGAAATACCGCGATAAAGGTAGGAAAATCCGTGTAAAACTGCTTTATTCCGCTAATTATTCACGGTCAGGCGTAGCAGTGGAATTTTAATTTCAAGCACACGGGGTAAGAAGGCGTAGTAATTTCTCTAAATTCGCTGCGACCCGGCGTCATACTTTATCCTTATCGCCATTAACATTCATCACGAGTGCTCGCGTCCGCCCATAAAACCCCTTCCTTCGTTTCCAGAAGTCAAACAATCGACGTCGTGGGTCGCGATGAAACGGCTAACATCGTTCCATGGTCGAGGAACGAGGGCGAGGAATGGCGAAAAACCCTAGGCGAAGAGATTAATTCGTCCAGTGGTGTTCACGGTGGTCCCGATATGTCAGCCATGACACATTCGACTTAGCATGGGTGCTGCATGGAACCGCATTGCACCCACGGTTAATATGCGAAGGGATGCTTCACTTGGTCGATTATCGATCCGACCATTGAGGATGAGAATCGACAAGGGGAAACGCGACCAGCGAAGGGAACGTGGTCAAGATGATTTTGAAATGATCAAACAGAGGAAATGCTACGATAATTTACAGCAGTGATGTTTAAACATGTTGAAATGATAAGGGAATTTATTAAAAACTATGCTGCTCCAATTTTCAATTTAACCCTTTGACTACGGCACACTTTGAAGGCCATACAGTAGGACTCCACTTGTATATTCAAATAATAATCAAGATACTATATTCCACTACGTTAAAACGACATTATTTATTTCTTTGTATTCTGCATTAAATTGTTACTGTACATAATTACAATTTAACAGTATCACAAGCGCAAGATTTCGAAGCCCCTTTAGGCAACTGAGGTAGTCAAAGGGTTAACCCTTTGCACTCGACAGGCGTTCAGTCGCCATTTGATAAAGTTTCGAAGATCGATATTAATTAATACGTCAAATTTAAGATAATGTAACGGTGTGCCAGGTATCGAAATCAAATAATTTTACGTGCCAATTATTATACTATTTCTTATTTATTACTCAACAAAATATTGTCAACTTTATAGCAGAAAATCTTCGAACTCCTACTCTTCTTTAGCCAAAAAATCGTCGAGTGCAAAGGGTTACTATATTAATAAATATGTAATATAATTTTTTATCACAGAATTTTGGTTATTTGTTTACGTGCACCATAAGATGAAAAGAATTAAATAAAAGAATGGAATTCGTTCGATCTATTTAATTTTTGGATTAGTAAAAGGATTAAGAAGACTTAATATTTCTAATGCAACCAACTGTAACGTCAGGAGACAGGTATTTTGTTAGGCCATACCTCGTCTCCTTTAATACACTGCCAAAAGATTGAGAAGATTCCAGTACCCCGAAATAAAGCTCGATTGACCCTCCATGACCACGTGACTGGGAGCAAACACTCGAGAGACGAGAGAGAGATTATATCAATTCTTCGCGAGTGGCTGTACGAGGTGAACTCAGAGAAAACTCGGTTCGTTCGATAAATATCGCTACTGGTCGAGTTCCAGGGACTTCAGAGGCAATTGAGACCACTGATCTTCCTTTTTTCGTGACTTCTCTAATTACGCGTTTCCCGAAATTATTCCCTTGGAAAATAAAATCAATTTATTGATGATAATCCCTGATGAAACGTACCATTTAATTAACCAGATGAATTTCAAAGCTCTGTAAAACTCTGTCAAAATTGATCATCCTCCTGTCAAGATGATTCCATCGCGAGGATTCTGATTATCGAGAACAATTAAGGGATACACGGTGTGCGTGAAATCGCAGTGAAACGAGCAGCTAGTGTAGAACCTAGAGTAGAATCTAGAGTAACACGGTACCCTAAATTTTCATTTAATGTAAAGTAAACTCGACGACTACCACGAGGATTCTACGCTGAAGGTGTAATAAATCTAACGCAATTGCATCGCGTAAATCCATAAGTAGTCATCCAACTGCTCACCCCTGCAGAATCGATAATTGCTATGTACCCTAAGCTGGATCTAGACCTCGCTATCACCGTCAAGCGGACTTAAGCTAATGTACTTTCGCTGTCTCGCGTCGAGTAGACCTAAGCTTAAGTCCCGAAACGAATGAAATATTTCTCGCCTTGTATGCATATGCAATTCGGTCAAAGGTGATTCGATACGTTTTATTCATTGAAATCGGAAGAAGAGGGTTGGAGTTGAGCTAGGCGAACTAGGATCGGCACGTCATAATACGTCTGATCAGTATAACGTCCTGCTAATGATTACGGCTGACACGAGACCACTTATGTTGATTAACACAATCCGTGCCACGTGTACCACCGGTGGTACACGTTAAATTTTATATTCCGTGTAGAAAAAACGACTCGGCAGGGAACGTGTTAATTGTATATATGTATTCTTATCGTGAATAACGAAGTAGCGAGCTATATGAATTTCCGAATTATTCTGAAATTTCGGTTTTATCGGAAAACACCGTGCGACTCGTTACCATGGATGTAATAATAATAGGAAAAATGGTGCAAGTGTGTAAAACGATGTGACACGTAAAATCGTAGGGTAAGACGATAATTATAGGGGGGAAATTTCGGTTAGGAGAATTTCAGTTTGACCTGGACCAAGGTTACAGGCTTGGTTATAGAAGAACTCCCATGACCTAGCAGCTGTCATTTGTCTTTCGGCTGTCGC